TGTTATGTTGTTGTTTTTAAATCTTTTGTCTGTATCCCCCTTCCCGGTTTGAGTTGTGAGCCGCCCTGAGTCCCCTTCGAGGGAAAAGGGCAGCATAGAAATTTAATAAATTGAACTGAACTGAACTGAACTTTTAGGAATTGCAGGAAAAACGTTATTTGAGAAGGAAGATTTACCTCTCAGTTTTAGTTTAATACAGAGGAGTAGATACCATCTTGAACCAATACACTGGAACAAGATGGAAACATTATTTTGAGGTGGAACATGGGGATTCCATGAGTCCTCCTGGGGGTACCAAGTTGTGGAAAGTTGCTGTAAAGACAATACATATGTTAGTAATTAGAACTTAAGAATCCAACATTGTGCTTTAGAAACAATGGTAGACATGGCCTAGGTCAGGGGTGTTCAACCTTGGCAACTTTAAGTCTTGTGGACTTCAACTCTGGCTGGCTGGCTGGGGAATTCTAGGAGTTGAAGTCCACATGTCTTAAAGTTGGTAAGGTTGGACACCCCTAGCCTAGGTAGAAAGGAGTTTAAATTCTTGATTTGGAGGCACGATCTTGCCTTTCAATTTAACTTCTCTCATAAGAATGGACTTTTATGGAAGGCAGACTAATGATGTAATTGATTAAATATCTAGAACATACCCATAATACTTTTTGGAGTCCTTTAGATGAACTATGATAGTAGCCTTATGATGAAAGCAATTTAACATAGATTTTGGAGTTGAAGTGTCAACGGAGAACAATAAGATAAGTAGTCAAAGGGCATTTTGTTGTCAACATCTTTCAGCTCCTGAGTTGATCAACACAATAATTAGGTATCTCTCTTATTATAACAAGTTTGTAGTAGCTATTTTTGAACACTCACAGAAGAACCTGTTTTTCTATTGAAGGAATGCAATTAATATTCCAAAGAATTATAATTTCCTATCTCTTTTAGTGGAGAGACATATACCAAAACCTATTTCACAATCATAAAGCTTTTAACCCAGGGCAAATTCTGGTTGGCTTAATGAATGGAATAGAGTATATTTTACCTAGGCAGCCTGATCATATTCCAGAGATATAAAAGTCAGGTGTGCTATGGGGGGTCAAGAGAGGGGAAAATCTTGAGAAAACTCTGAAGACGCATTTCTCTCTAATACCAACCATTCACATCTCTACAGATGATACCTTCCTTGTTCTGTGAGAATTCATTCATTCATTCATTCATTCATTCATTCATTCATTCATTCATTCATTCATTCATTCATTTATTACATTTATAGGCCGCCCAATCCCGGAGGAGTCCGGGCAGCTTACAACAAAAGAAGAAAAAAGAAAAGCAAAATAAGTAAAAAATAGTTTAAAATTCACAACAGACATACGTTCTAATCGGGGCTGGACCCTAACACTAAGGTCAACAGCCCCAGGCCTGCCGGAACAGCCAGGTTTTAACGGCTTTCCTGAAGGCCATGGGTAAGGTCCGGACCTCTGGGGGTAGCTGATTCCACAGGGTCGGAGCAGCCACAGAGAAGGCTCTCCTCCGGGGCCCCCCAGCCGACACTGTCCGGCTGACGGTATCCG